GTTGCTGAAGAATAAAAAGGTCTATCAAGGATAATCTTAGCTGCCTTATTTTGGAGTACTTGCAACTTTCCCATTAAAGTAACATTGTCTTTGTCGCCCCAAACTACATCAGCATAGTCAAAAACGGGCACAATGAAGCTATTATAAAAAAGTAACCGGGCGTGAAATGGCAATAAATGCTTAATTCTACGCAAAAGGCTCAAGTTCTTATTGATCTTACAAGAGATATATTCAATGTGGTCAGTCCATGTAAAGTTAGCGGATAGCTTAATTCCAAGATACTTGAAACTAGAAACACTTTTAACATTAGATTCAAAAATAGTCAATGAAAAAATGTTTTGATAGGTATATGAAAAGACTAAAATCGGCCGTTAAACTTATAACCACACTCAAAATATTCATCACTTCATCGTTTAGTGATTGTGATATCTTAGATAAAACTATTTGTATGACTGTTTATGGTGTATACAATGRTGCAGAAGTTACAATAAACATTACAAGTACTACAAGATCTCGTTATTCAAGGTTTGTTTATTATAATTATCGACATGTACGTTGTAGTCGTCAGTCGAGAGCCCAGTATGCCAGTAGGATACCAAAACGATTTCTAAGACGCTTACATAACAAAAGTAGAAAGCTAAGATGGGTTGTTTATCGAATTTATCATTGAATCTGTCAAAAGAGGTTTATCTTAATTTTGTCTTACATGTAAAATGACATAATAAGATTGTTKTTATTGTCTTGATATTTGTTCATGTTCTTTTAATAATACGAAGTTGGCGTAGACACAGTTATTTTTTTAATTTCTCTAAATGACTTTTTTAAAAGTTATTAAAATTGTGATATTGATATTTATATTACTGCATATCATGAATTGTCTATCAAACTAGCTACCCATCTTATCAAAAGCGAATTATATAGTAAATATATGGCAAACACGCAAGTGTAAACGAGCCTTACCAAATTCACTACTGTTTTATCAACAAGAACCCCGAGTTTACGCAGTTATGCGTCTAGTTTACTATAAATATGGAAAGAAATGGACTCAGCAGACCATAAATTCATGTTTATTCATCACAAGACTCAAGTAAGTAAATAGGGTGTTCTTTTTTCCATGAACAAGAATGTCTCACGACTCGAAACAAGGAGTCTCCTACAGCCCGTGCTGTGGTAAAACGAATGGGATTACTGTGGCTCCACAGGGGGCCCAGGCTCAACAGTTGTTGAGCCTGGGCCCCCTGTGTCTCCTCGGGCTTGATTTGGCGCAAAATCTCCRCAAAATCCAACAAACGGCGAGACACCCCGGCGAGATACTGACTGTACAAGTGCACTGTATAGTCAGTATTGAATTCGAAAAACATGCCTAGAAGTAAAGAAAGGTTGGACAATTCTAAAGAGCAAGAACACAGTCATGATTTCAAAAGCAGCGAAGAAAAGTCAGTTCGTGTGAAACTACTCGACTGGTACGATGATAAGAAACGAGATCTTCCGTGGCGTAGGTACGCCAACGAACAAGATCCTAACAAGCGGGCTTATGCCGTGTGGGTGTCAGAAATAATGTTACAACAAACGCAAGTTGCCACTGTTATTGATTATTACAATCGGTGGATGGCGAAATGGCCGACTGTCCAAGATCTAGCTAATGCAAGCTTGGAGGAGGTTAATGAGGTTTGGTCTGGACTTGGGTATTACTCTAGGGGAAAACGTCTTTTCGAAGGGTCTAAAAAGGTAATTTTACACATTTCAATATTTTGTGATCCTCTGTAAGGCCAGAGAACTCTGGTAAGCAAGATGCGGTCGGTCCGTCCGTAGGAATGTTTGAAAGTGGTTTGCCAATACCATTCTCGTACCCAAACCTTCATAGCTATCATAGGCTCTGGTTCAGAGGAGCTCTGGGCTCTGGCAATCTCGTATCCCGAGTGACTTTTTAGGGTATTTTTGAAATTTTTGATAAATTGAAAAAATATCACTTCAATCACTTATTTTAATCAGTCTAAATAATCTTATTTAGTACTTATTTCATTGATTTCTTACTAAAAACAGAAAAAATGACCCATAGTTACAGACTACTTTGGCTTGACAACTGATCACTAGACCGTAAAATACCCTAGATTTGCATATTCCAGGCAACTCTTGACTTTTACCATTTGTTTTGTTTTGGCTCGACGTTGTGCTGCAAGAAGTCAAGAAATGTATTTTTCTCATTTTTTTAGCCCTAAAACTAACCCTACACCACCCCAAAAACCTAACCCTCCCATCGTATTCTAACCCTAACATGAAACCTAAACCAGGAGCCCTAATCTTTGTCTTAAGTTACAGGATCCCTAACCATTGCCGAAGACTAGCCCTAAGCCTAACCTTAGGTACAGTGAGGGGAGGATGCAGTCCATAATTATTAATCTTTTTTTTTTCCTTTTTCCGAGGGAAATGAGGAGAAATAAGTAGCAAATGTGATTATTTAGATAATACTTGATTGAAGTGATTTTATTTCCCGATTTGTTGAAAATTCCAAATTAAAATACCTGACCGTTCACATATTATAGTAAATCAGCACAAGTATGAAACTGCAGGCTCCTTCATGTGTTATTATAGTATTATGTAGACTTTCTTTCTATGCAACTTAAAAAATGGTGCTTAAGGTGCTAAGGTACCTTTTTATTTGTCTTGATTTATTTGTATTTATAAGTAGTTTGTTGAATCAATCATGAATAATTTTAACACTTTATTCCAAGCTTTTGACCTAAGCGGTCATCTTCAGGGAACACAAAGACGTTACAAAAACAATAACGCATTCAAGGCAGTGTTCGACCTTTGTCCCTATTAAATAATATGTTGTTTCCCTTGGCAATTTGACAAGCCTCCAACCACTTCCTATGTTGTGACTTTTGTTCCGTTATTACTTCTGAAGTAGCAGCCCAGTCGATCGAGTGTCAGTGTTGTTGGCTGGAAACTATTTATGCTTGCTCAATAATTCTTAATATCTTTCTTGCATTTCATTTGTAACAAGACGTGCATTGTCTTTATTGCGTGCACAAAACAGTTTGACTTCAGTTTAAATGCGTTTTTGTTTTTGTAACGTCTTTTGTGTTCCCTGAAGATAACCGCTTAGGTCGAAAGCTTGGAATAAAGTGTTAAAATTATTCATGGTTGATTCAACAAACTACTTATAAATATGAAAAATACAACCAACAAATTGATTTATTTGCTTAGGCAAGCTAGTATTCTCTTCATAGTAATCCAAGTTAACTATGTYTGTCAAGTCATCCTTAAGATACCACAAATCTAGAATTTGATATGCCTTTTTAGGTTTGTGAAGAATTAAATGGTAGAATGCCTAGTGATGCAGTAAGCTTGGAGCAAAAGCTTCCTGGTGTAGGTCGTTACACAGCAGGGGCAATAGCATCAATTGCTTTCAAGGAGGCAACAGGTGTGGTAGATGGCAATGTTATTAGAGTATTATCACGGCTAAGACTGATTGGTGCCAACAGTACTAGCAAGATTGCATCTGGGAAGTTCTGGCAACTGTCAAATTCTTTAGTTGACAGTGCCAGGCCAGGAGATTTCAACCAGGCTATGATGGAGTTAGGCGCAACTGTGTGCACTCCTAAAACTCCCCAATGTGCCATGTGCCCCTTAAAGGTCCACTGCATGGCATACAAACAAGTAGAAGATTCTAAAAAAACAAAAACATCTGAGTTTTTAACAAAGGGTAACATGCAGAATGGAAGTAGAGTGAGTGCTGACATAGAAGAGTGTGGTTTGTGCCTTTGTTCAACCTGGGATGTCTCACTAGGCGTATGTAACTACCCAACAAAGCCAAAGAAGAAGGAAATAAAACAAGAAACATTTGGAGCCTGCTTGTTGCAGAAAAACAATGAGAATGGCTTAGTTGTTGTCAAACGACCAGAGAGTGGATTACTTGCTGGATTGTGGGAATTCCCTAACACTCAGTTAGACACAACACAAAATAATGCAACTTCAACAATCACTCGGTTTCTGTCTGAAGAGATTGGTTTGACCAAGTTTACTAGTCAAAAAGAATTAGGTGAAGTTATGCATAAGTTTTCTCATTGCCATCACATTTACAAAGTCTATCATTTTGTCTGTGAAGAAACAAAATTAAAACAAGTTTTACGGCCAGTTAAATGGATCACTAAGGAGGAGATTAAGGATGCTGCAATGCCTATGGCAATGAGAAAAATCTTCAGGTTGTATGAAGACACTGTCTCCAACAAAAGAAAGTTGAATACATTTCATAATACTATGAAGAAACAAAAAACCATGGACTCATTTTTCAAAGCTAAGTAGTACAGTGTAGTCAGTGAGAGCCATTATTAGCTTGAGCTGTATTAAACCCAGTAGGGGGATACTCCCTAATAAAAAAGGGCGGGGGTCCTCATCGGAAATACTGAAAATGATCCCTGAAAGGGACCTGTATTTTGAGATAATGGGCATGGCAGTGCTGAAATTTAACCCCTAAGAGGGACCAATCAATAACAGGTCATTTTGTTTTCRTTTTTATTTGTGTTTTTGCACAAGCATCAAAYGCTGTTGGCTCATATTGAGAGCAATCATCTAATTAGCAGTTATGGTTGTAGTTGATCCTATAATGACGGCTTAGGGTTGCCATATAGGGACAACAAAACTCAGTTGGTGAGAATTCTTGTCATTATCACCCTAAGGGGKACTAMAACACTGATTCCAAACCCTAAAASGGACGACCAGGAGCCCCGCCCAGGTATTAAACCCTGCACATTCAAATAAGAAACAGTCAGAGTTGCATCTCCCAACGTCATCAAGAAAAGCTGTCAATTATCTGATGAATACAAAAGCTGCATTAAACAATGCAAAAAGTGTATGGCTAGTTTATAAAGAAGGGGTGCTGGTCCATCATGTGTTGAACTGACCCATATATGAAGCAAGCATCCAATAGCCGACTTGCGAATTACGCATCAATAGTCACATACAAAGGAATCAAGACGAGGCGCCGTGCTTTTTGTGAAAATCTATTGTCTTTAGCACGGCGCCTCGTCTTGATTCCTTTGTATGTGACTATTGATGCGTAATTCGCAAGTCGGCTATTTAAGACAGAGCTCATAAAGGCTCATTTTCAAAATGTTTTGTCTTTTTTTGTATTACTGCATTTCAAAACATTTTTTTATTGTAGTATTGCATCTCTAAAACAAAATTAACACATATGGCAGGGTTAAAATCCTGAAAAATACACACCCATAAAACCATAGGCCCTGTCTTAATAGAAYAGAAGTCCATCTTCTTTGCCGTTTGAGAAAGTTAAAACATTGTCCATTGAAGTGTTCTATAATTTAAAAACATTGGAGGCTGTGGCAGTAATTATTTGTACAGGAAATCATATAACTTTTCATGTTCAATTTGGAATAAACGCACCATCTAGAGAGTTTTTAAAAGATTTCCAGATTTAGGAACAAAAGTTGTATGATTTTTTTTAAATAATAGGCTTAACAACACAAGGCCAGCTTTGAGCAAGAGCTTGCTCAGTTGAAAGACCTTTTGTTTCATATATAATTAGGTTTCAACTGTTTCCACAACCAATAAAACTTTATTATGATTGGTTTCCATTTTAACCATATAAAACCCAAGGCAGCCCAAGCTCTGAATGCCTTCAATGAAATGTTATTAACCTCAAACTGTGCGTTGTGCTTTAAAAATTCAGTTCCCTACAGTGAAATGCACACCTTACAAAATGAGGCGATATGTCACAGTTGCCAACCAGGGCATTGGGGACGAAGCACTAAAACTAGAACAGCCTCTGTAAGATGTCTTGCTCAAGTACTTTGTCATAAGCATCCATGCATCTTTAAAATTTTGACACTGCTAAACATGAAACCTCCAGCTAGCAGCGTCATTGTGGCCTCATTTCTATGATTAGTCATCAGTCCCGATATTGCCAGCCATGACCTTCTGCCATTATTTAAGGTTGTGTTTACACATGATTTTCCATTATGTTTTTTCCACACCACAAGGTGCCCAAATTTAATATTATACATMAATTAATGAGGGTCGATTAACCTCACGTAAAGATGCAATAAAAACATCCAAAGCAACATCGACAAGATTTGAGCTGGTGCTAAAACATATTTCTGATTGACAAACCCTGTGTGGCACATTAATAAAACCATTCTTTAGGTGTTTCATACCTGTTTGCACCCTCCCATAACCAATATTAGAAACACAAAATACAAATGTTTTCTTACTTTTCTCAAAATTGCCTGGAAGAATTCCTTTGGTTTTGTGATATATGTTATATCCCCAATCAAACACACTCAGTACTTCTGACTTTTGTAGGTGCCTTCAAATTCGGAGAGAAATCAGCTTTTTTAGATTTCTTTTTGTCATAAAACTGCTATTTTTCGCAGTAAATTAAAGATAAATCTTTGTGTTAAGGTATCTGGATACAGTTGTTTAGAACACCAACCGGGATGAAAGAAAYGGGTCAAAAAGTAATTTAAGTTGGTCAGATCATAATAATATTTTACTACATGATTAACAAGGGATTCAAAWTYATAYTGAGTAAATTTTTGGAAAATCGGATTTAATTTATGCGTTTTATGGGGAAATCCAGGAAAACGCTTTTACAGCTATTCCAAACAAATTACGCCTATTTTTTCCGTGACATCTCAGGGACATAATATTAGAGGTATTGCCTAACTATTACCAAAGTTTGGTCGAAATTCATCGAGGAAAGACAAAACATCATGCGGTACTTAACTTGGAGCAAGAATTTTCAAAGAAAAAGAGCTTATACAAAATCAAAAATTCACATTTAACTTTGTATCAAATATATATTCACCGATTTYTACRTTCATGCAGAGTTTCGGCTCTGTACACTAATTCGTTAGGGAGTTAATGGTATGGAGAAAAAGGTATGTCTTCAGTGCRTGGTAACTCTTTTGAGACAAACAGACTCTGACTGTCTTAACTCGAAATTGAATCCCAGAATTTGCTTTAAATTTCTTGTTCATAAAGCCAAAACCCCTCTAGTGTTTTCACATCTCTCTGATATTGAATTGATTATTTACAACGGACGCAATACATTTTTTTAAAAACCTACATTTTGCATCAGCGATTTCGCCGTTACATCGCAATCTATCCAAGGGTATTTGTTGTTGTACGCTATTGTTTAATCGGACAATAAGGGGATTAAAGGTTTCATATATATCATCATTTTTACCATAGCTCTATCATTTCGAACATTTTATTGAGCGGAATCCCATTCAATAACCCACGATGAAATGGCATTGTGTCATTACGCATATAAAGTGTGTTGATATACACAATTGTACAATTAAACAATGGTGTACGACAACTAATACCCTTGCATAGATTGCGAGGTAACGGTGAAATCACTGATGCAAAATGTACGTTTTTAAAGAAACTCTTGCGTCCGTTGTAAATAATCAATTCAAACTTAGTGAGATGCGAAAACTCTAGAGGGGTTTTGGCTTTATGGACAGCAAATTTAAAACAAATTCTAGGATTCGATTTCGAGTTAAGGCTGTCAGAATCTGTTTATCTCAAAAGAGCTAGCATGCACTAAAACCATACMTTTTGCTTCATACCTCTAACTCCCCAACSAATTGGTGTACACTGTCGAAACTTTGCATGAACGTAGCAATAAGATAGGGAAGTTCTTTTCCAGAAATCGGTCAATATATATTTGATACAAAGTTAAATGTAAATTTTTGATTTTGTATAAGCTCTTTTTCTTTGAAAATTCTTGCTCCAAGTTAAGGACCACATGATGTTGTTTTTCCTCAATGAATTTCGAACAAACTCTGGATATAGTTAGGCATTACCTCTAATATTATGTCCCTGAGATATCGCGGAAAAAATAGGCTTAATGAAATAGCTGTAAAAGCGTTTTCCTAGATTTCCCCATAAAATGCATAAATTAAATCCGATTTTCCAAAAATTTACTCAATATGAATTTGAATCCCTTGTTAATTATGTAGTAGAATATTATTACGATCTGRCCAACTTAAATTACTTTTTGACCCGTTTCTTTCRTCCCRGTYGGTGTTCTAAACAACTGTATCCAGATACCTTAAACCTTTCAACTATTTACAACATTGTCTGTTTATTTAAGGAAAAAAAATCATTTGAAAATGTTTGGTGTGGGAGGGTGTGAACACATATAAAACACCTTAATAATTTATAAAAAAATAGATAACATAGCAAAGTGAATTCTTATGCCTTACAGTAAAAGTTGATGAATATGTGCCATCAAGTCTCTACTTTCTCTCAAAAATTTTTTTCTTTGCCTTTTCAAAATAATACAGACAATTACTTGCTACCTGGAGCCAACTTGTTTCAATCACATTTTTAGGATGTCACTTAGTTGGTATTCTTGTGTCAAACCGAAATAAATGAGGACCAGTTATGGTTTAGTATTGTGGATTATTAGAAATTTTTAAAGATGGAATACAAAATTTTTAAAGATGACATAACTGATGCATTTTGAGCCTTTGAGGGTTCAATAAACAAAAAATAAGCAGAAAGTGCAAATAAAATATCAAAAACACTATCAATTGAGTAGAGTGGTTTTCATTAACCTCTGAAACACACTTTAGCGTATTTATCGCTATTACACTTTGGTTCTTTTGTTTTWTATTGTCTCTGTGATTATTACAATCTATTAGACTCTAATTATTACACTTTGTTTCATGGGTTTATGAAAACCACTCTATCTTGATAATATATCTCAATATTTTATCCAACTAACAAAAGGTATGTAACACAGTGACATRGAGGAATATGTTACAGTGTACAATTACCTTAACAAACAGTTTAATAGCAATAACGAAAATGCATTGGCATTTGTGAAATTTACCTTTGCTGATTTCCAGCAATGCCAAATAACACATAAAAGCGCCTAAGTAAGAGGTTGGTTTAGTAAATTAATTTTGTTTGTAGTCTTCGATTACCCTCTGAGCCTGTCTAATGTACTGCTGTTGTTTGTAGTAAATCCTGATTGCTCCTTTTATAGCAACAAATGTTATGCCACCCTAAGAAAGACAAAACAGAGTTGGAGTCTTATCCACTTAAAGGTCTTTGGGCATTCTGGACTTAAGTGGAGGAAATCACCAATATTATGATGAAAACAAAAATGTGGGATATGAAGTCCTTCATTTTTGGCTGTGTTCATAATGTATACCACAGGGGGGGACAGGTGAAATTTGTGGGGGATCATAATTTTTATAGACATTTTTTGGGGGGATGACATTTTTACTGTATTCAAGATTAATTAAAATCTTAAATTAAAAATGGAAAACAAGGTATAAATTGTAGAGGTTTCAGTTAACGGATTAAATGCCATATTAGTTTATAGAGAACATGGTAAAAACCAACAAGTAACTTATCATTGTCTTTTTTATCATTTTAATCATCATTAATATCATCATCAACTTCATCATCATCATCAGTGTCATCATCGTCATTTGAATCTGCAGTTTCCTAGGAAGACTTTTTTTTGGTGGGTGTATTTTTTTATTTTTGCTTGGGCGGGTTGCTAATTTTTCCGTTAGTTGTGGACAGGGTGTCGAAATTTTTTTTGGTATACATTATGAACGCAGCCTTATCTCCATTCGYTAACTAGTATAAATCACTGCGCCAATGAATCAAACACACAAGTATACTCCTTTTTCCCGTTTAAAGCAAGTGACCACTTTTTTTAGTTGACAATAGTCTCTAATGCTCAGAGACCTTACCAAAAACAAAAGAAGCATGGAAAATGTTGTCATTACMATAGCCCCAAAAATTTACATTTTCTCCTTAAAGCTAAGCCTGTATCCCAGAAGGCTTAACTTCTAGGTCTTGATGGAATACAGGGTTAGCTTCAATCAGAGAAGATTCAAATTTCTAGAGCTATTGTTATGTCAACATTTTTTAATGCTTTCTTTTGTTCACTTGTTATACAAGTGAGTTTGTTGTCCACTGAAACAATGTTTCATTGAACGGAAAAAAAGGCTTACTGTGAAGTGTTTTTACAGATAATAAAATTTAAAAATAAATAAATAATAATAATGAGTATAACAACCAAAATAACAACTTCTAAAAAAATCTAAAAGTCTACATAACAATTTCTCATCAATGCCTGGACCCAGTCTATGTTGGTGCCTATGAAAATACTTACTAAAAGTGCTCTATGTAGTCCAGATTCCACAAATCCAAAGCAGACTTTTCCAATCAATGTTGCAACAGTTGGCATAATTAGTCCACCACACAGTACCCTGGTAGCAGACACAGGATCAGAAAGTGGAGTGGGGTCAGCTGGTTCTCTCTGGGGAAGCCCTTCAAATGATCCCGAATTTACCATTTTGGGCAGAAGAAAACTTAACAAGGATATCTTACTTATGTGCCGCCTCCACATCCTTAACACATGGTCTTCCCAACGAATCATTTTACCAAGGATAAGAGCTAAGGGTATAGTGGGTAATCCAACTAGTAAAAACAAGGGATCAGCTTTCTCCATAACCTCTAACCCATCTTTATGACCAAGTACTTGCATAACAGTAACTGCACCATAAGTTACAGCAGACCAGTACAGAGAACCTACAACAATTCCTGCAGCAGCAAATGGACATACTTTATTCACAGCACGGTCTAGATTCTCTATAAGCTGTAGCAGAGGTCCCAGAGGAGGGAACAGAATTTTGTATTCAGTATTACACTGGGGACATGAAACTGTTGCAGCAGAGTTGCCTGCTTGCTTCTCATCAATCCATCGTTGGAGACATGATTGGTGTACCCATTTAGTAGTGCCTCTGCATTGACAGGGCACCACCCATGGGTTGGTTGGCTCATCTTCATCTGTTGCAAAGCAAACCCAGCACCGCCTGTGGAATCAGGTATACAGGAAATAATGATAAATCTTTTCAGTGTTTACTTTGTCAGAGGAGTATACATGTAGAAGTATGCAAACAAATTTAAAAAGATTGATGGAGCTCTAACATAAACCAATACCCCATGTGATACACTTACAATTTATTGTTTGTGTTGCTATGCAACCAGTCAAGATAAAACTTCTTAAAGGTACACTGTCAATGGATGACATGCGCAGTAACAGTCTCACCTCTAACGGACTTTGAAAGTATAACCTTCGACGTAAATCATTTTGTGGTGCTTTTGACACACTTTGGAATATTCTAGATCTGTTTACGTTTGCGATCTGATTTATGTCGTGCCAACTTGGAGTCATAAACTTGAAAACACTAGCCTAGTGTTTTCAAGTTTACTCGCGCATGTCATCCATTGACAGTGTCCCTTTAAACTGCAGTTTGCAATAATTGCAGCTATCAATCAAATAATTACTTTGGCACCAACCACCAGTTTGAAAATTTTGATTGACAACAGTCTATCTCTTATTTTACTTTATTTATTTATTTTATTTTTATTTTGCACTGTTTATTCAGTTTTTAACTGGAAGAAGTGTTCAATAAACTTATTATTATTACTTATTATTATTATTGCATGTCATCACTCTTGTTTATGCTAAGGACATATAGCAATACAAAGTAGGGTAAGCCTTTGTTATATGGTGCTTGGATACAGGTGTCACATAATTTTCCTTCTAATCATGAATGCATATTAATTTGTATGATTTTTAATATTATTTTATGTCAACTCTCCGTTTTACTTTTATTTTCATTATGAAACGTTTTTTACAGTGTACTGTTTTTAATTTTCAAGAGTAATTCCAATTTGAAATGTAAATTCTGCAAGAATTTGAATATAAAGTGGATGTAAAAATATACTTTGAAATAAAATGACCAACTAAAGTTATTTTAATATCATCATGAAATGGTCTTCGGTGATCTTGATCACTTTTCAACAATTCCAGCAATAACAATGTATCTTAGCAACCCTTGTGATCATCCAAATGTTCAATAATCATTACCCTCATCTATATTTTATTATCATCACCACTGTGATTTATTTATTCAAAAGTCAACAACAATTTCCTTCAGCAAGCAGCATAAACAATTATTGTAGACTGCGAGGCCTGTTGTTAAACTTCAATCACAACAGCCATCATTATGCAGTACACTCTGATAAAATCACAGAATGTAAAAGACATCCCATTGACTGTTAAAAACAGAGTTTTTCCAATTTTGCCTTTTTGCTATTAAAGTTACTTAATCATGTTTTAGCCTTTGGATTATATTAAGATGAAACAAATTAAAAGTATTATTGGTTTGCAGAATTGTAATACCCTAGTCAAGCCTAACCATTGATGTATTCTATTTAAGCTTCATTTTAAAGGTGGCTCATGTTTTGTTTTCAGAAAGATTRTATAAAAAGAGAAAAATTGATCTAAAAAATGGTATCATTCTTGGTTACTTTAGAGTTCTTAAACCATGAAAGAATCTATGAGAATGAACATGCAAATAGCACAGATTTACAGGGCTTTGCATTAAAACAGCCATGTACAAATTTTTTGCATTGATTGGCTGCATGAACATTCACCATTCTGTATCCAAATTAAGCCATTGTCTAATACTTTTTGATAATTTTACCTGTGAGAAGAGTTAAAAAGGTAGGAACCTCTGATTGATTAAAAACGTCTGCTGTTAGAGACCAACAAATGTTCATTATACAGAAAAATCTTCCGAGCTCAACATCAAATATTTTGTTCATTATTTTCATAAAAGGTCATGTGGAAAAAAGACATGCTTACACAAATAAAACCAACACGGTGACATTAAAATAATGACATAAGAAAAAGTTTGAATCCTTCCAATACCCTAACTAGATGATGGTGAGATATAAACTAAAACAGAAAGAAAGACCTTGTGTGAAAAGCAAAACACCAAAATTTGGTGTCTATTAGACTAAGTTCGACAGTGAATGAGTTATTAGGGAGCTTTAGATTTGAGAACGAAGACGAGGACGAAGTTGGTGAGCGCGCACAACTTTGATGTGGTCAGCTTGCTCGCGCATATTCAAAAGAAATTCCTAATTCGCTCTGAAAAACTAATTTGACATGGTTTAGTTTATGCCAATCTTAGCACAAATTAAGGATATTTCCGCACATTTATTGCTCAAAGTAAAACAAGGGATGACCAAAGTCGATGTTCGTGCATTTTCTTCAGATTTTCAGTGCAAAATAAGTATAAGAAAAGCTGATAAAAACTTTGTTTTGGACAGAACGAAGTTTGATAAAAACTTTGTTGTCCTCAGCAAGGAGACAACGAAGTTGCATGACATTTCATGAGCTGTCGTAATCTGTAACGGCAAATTTTCGAAACTTCGTCCTCGTCCTCGTCTTCGTTCTCAAATCTAAAGCTCCGTATTACCTTTAATATACTCTAGGATTTCCAAAGCAATAAGTAGGAAGCCATAAGTGTGTCTGGATTTTGACCATTTTCTGGACACTGACTAGATCATACATTTCTCACTCACTTTTGAACCGATTTACACCAACTCTTGGGAATTTGCATTTCTAAACTTAGTCTCCTTCGCAGCCTACCCTTTTGTCRGRCTTCCTGTCCCTCCTCTTTTGGGAGGGACAGGAAACCCGACAAAAGGGTAGGCTGCGAAGGAGACTATTCTAAACTAGGTACATGTATTTCTCATCTCTGACTGGTAAGGAAGCTTCATTGCTATTGTGTTATGTATTATAAGTTATTTAGTTGTTATGGTACCTAACTATAAAAACAACAACTTATTATAAACCAAATTAGCTAGATCAAAATGGTTGGTATTATGAACCCCATATTTTAGGCCTGCAGGCTGCCTTACCGATGGGGGGRCTCGTTTTTTTATAATGCGGACCTAAATAAAATGTTAAACTAAATTAGTTCAATRCACAGGTACATTGTGTGAGAACTGGCTGCTAGAATAAAAATAAATCTCAAAAAATAATCTCAAAAACAGCTCATAACAAAAGAATTTTAAAATACAACAATAAAAAAAGGGAAACRCCAGACCTTTAAAGCTCGTTATCCATTAAAATTTGATTGGTTTTCATTATCCCATAAAACAAAGTGAAATAAAGTTTCTTGGCGTGACTGTGTGTTACAGACTTCATGTATTGGGTTTAATCCTGTCCAGCATTATGAAATTGAAAAAGTCYTTAGATGTTCGAATTTTACAAATATCAAACAGAAATAAAGAGTGAAACACCAAAAAGACTCTGAGGCAAAACGGTGCAGTATGCTTAGGTGTGTTTTAAGGCTGATTTAAACGGTGCGATCTGTCACACACGAGTTGTAGTGTACGATTTTCCTACTACAAGTCGTAGGTTGCGTACAACTGTTGTATAAAAAAATATATAAAAATTTTCTTCATTAATAAATTATAATTAGTATAGGAAATTGCACGACCTTGAGTACAATTTGGAATTAATAGTCACAAGTAATGTTTTGAAAGTTCTCGTAATTGCACATTTGAGAACTTTCAAAACATTACGAGAGGTTGTGCAATTTTTTGTTTATAGTACATTCAACTTAATTAAGGTACTAGGACTGGCAAAAGTGGGTGTCATTTGAAAAAAAACTATTCAAACTGTATTCACTTTAGACCAAATTGAACTTGATAACTAGCTTGTATATAAAATTGCTTTTCGAAATGTTAATTTAAGAGTGCCAGATTTCACACCTAAGGTGTGAAAACAAGACAGGCATCCTGAAGAACTTTTAAAAAAAAAAYGTAAAATATCTCTTCAGATTTTAACAACATGAGCTTAAAAACAACTTTTTTATAAACTGTTTTTGAACCTTCATGAGAATTAAAGAAGCCGGAGTGAAAGAAAAAATATTGCGTTTTTTCTGGGATGATCAGCGAAATGGGCCATAAAATTCTAGGGATTTGATACACAGCTCCGGCTTCTTTAATTCATAATATATGATAAATGTTCTAAATCTTTACYAAATAYMWWGCAAARATATCAAACAGAACGAAAGTTATTCTATTTCGAGTGAGTAACAAGAGTAAAATTTGAATTAAATCTTAATTTAAACTGACAGAAGTCGCGCAAATCTTCAGAAATGCAGACCATTTCGTTCYTCGTGTTGTATTTCAAAACAGCTGACAACTTTGCATTGATTTGAGGACAAAGAGTGGTCGAAAAGGCGAAAATTCATCGGAATCTAATCATTCCTGGCTTCCCGCGAAAATCTGGATAAACAAATGATGTAATCCATAGCAACACTACACTGAGCATGCGGAGTTTAAAGTAACACGAGCTCGGACGTTTTGCGACTTAAAGATGATCACTAAAAACATTTAAAATACTCATTGTTTTGATTCTAGACTAAATTTCTAGCTAAATTATATGGAAAATGTCCACTATATTCAAAACTGGAGAATTGTGAGCAGCAAAAAGCGATCTTGTAACCGAATACTCGCGTGTTCCAGGTA